ATCACGACGGTGCAGTACCGGTACTAACTAGAACAGGCTGGTGTTACATTTGAGAAGGGTTCTAGGAGCCCATTTTTCTGCTTTGGATGGACCAAGCCAAAAGAACATTGCTTCTCAATATAGTCTTGTGCGATCCCTCGCAGCGATGGACGGGCGCCAGTTGCACGAGACTCTGCTCCTGCGACCGCCTCGTCGTTCCGTAAGACGTTATTGTGCACAACTCGATGGCGCGGTTGCACGCTCTTTTGCTGCACGCCTGCTTTTTCGCGCTGTTTCTGCTTTGGATCGTGACTTGGTTTGCATATTCGAAAAGATATGGCGTCGTCCGGTTGTGATGCCGAGCGTGGATTGGTTCAAAAGAAGCCAATGAAAAGAGGAAACCCATCAGTTTTCAAATTGACGGCGACGGAAGATGCCAACGAGCGACGAGGTAGAACGACGACCAAGCGACCTGCGACGATGTGGACGAGCGATGATGTAGATCAAGCTTCTCGGTGCTGCAGAAGACGGCGAGTTGGCTCAAGTTCAATCCTATCTCGACAAAGGCGTCCACGTCAACTGCACGAACGAGGTACGCTGGATCTCTCGAATTGAATTGGTTTACATCCAACGCCTGTGTAGAAGGGTTGGACGCCTTTGCACGTAGCTGTTTCCAGAGGTCAATTGGAGATCGCCCGCCTCTTGCTCGACAAAGGCGCCAATGTGGAAGCGTGCGACAAGGTATGATTTTGTATTGACGGAATAGTGTTATTCATCTGGCTTTTATTTAAACGACTGTCGTGTAGAATGGTTGCACGCCACTGCACTTTGTTTCCAGCGGTGGATTTGACGTCGCCCGCCTCTTGCTTATGAGATGCGCCAAGTTGGAAGCCTGTGACAAGGTAAATTCTATCGTTTCATTGGTGTTAATTTCAAGGTGACGTAGACGGGTGCAACACCACTGCACCATGCCGCTCACTATGCCGCTCAAGGCAACAATTTATACACCGTTTCCTGCATTATTTCAATGTTCTTGGACAATGGCGCCAAAATCGACGCCAAAAACAACGTACGTACAGCCACCATGTCGGTGTATGGTAGTACTGGCATATGTTGTGCCTCAAGAGATCTTCAATGAACAACCATTGCTTATCTTTAGGAGGGCCAAACTCCGCTTGAGGTCGCAGAAGCACGCGGTTTTAATGATCCAATCGCGACGTATATACGCGACGACTATCCTCGCATGCGACGTCAGGTATATGTGTATATAAACATGTTTCGCGTTATCTTCGCTGTTACAGAGAGCTGAACGACAAGCAATCCCCGTCTACCTCAAGGTATATAGTCCATCAAATGACGTGTGTCTCTGCCGCGTCTATACTCACTCTCCGTTATAGCTCTTTGATGCGCTGCGCAACAAGCGACTTGATGACGCCACGCGCATTCTCGAAAACAACGTTCTCCACGGCAACGTCCTTGACAGCGTACGCAGCGCTTTCCGAACGATTTACCATTGCTAGATATGACTCATATGAGTGTAGTCTAAGACGCCGTTGCTGCACCTCGTCGTGGCTACGCTGGATTTACCGCTGCTTCAAACGTTGCTCCAACAACCAAACCTCAAAATCGATATGAAAGACTCGGTATTTCCGTTAATCGTCTTCTCGTCCGACATTCTCACATCATTTGCGATGAAAAAGACGGGTCGCACGGCCCTCGCAGTCGCCATTACCACTGGCTACATGGAGGCAGCCCTTGCGCTGCTACAAGCGGGCGCATCTGTCGATCTCGTCCTGGTTTGAAATTTACAACATTTTACTGAGAAATTGACGATGTGATACAGAGTCTACGTGCTTCAATGCCAACCTTGGGCGCCAGTTTGGGCGCCGCTTTGCACCAAGCAGCCTCCACTAACAACAACGACAGCACGGTGGCTCAACTACTGCGTTTGGGCGCGAGCCCCATATCGGCCAACAAGGTATAATGCATTGAGTTTGAAGGCCAACCTCATCTCGGTTTGATCTAGGATGGCGCGACGGCGTGGCATGCGGCGGCTGCAAAGGGCCACGTGTCCATTATCACGATGCTGCTCCAGACAACCAAGGACGAGAACGGCATTGACGTGACCAACCACGTACACTCTACTTTGTTTTGATTGTTTTGATTTTAAACTGGTGTAGAACGGGGAATCACCTCTTTTTGTCGCTGCGACCGGTGGCTACGCCGACGTTGTCCAATGCCTCCTTCGTGCCAACGCCAGTCCTCGCATCATTTCTAAAGTACTGCCTTTGAATGATTCGTATTCAAATGGCGTGATTACGATGCTAGGATGGATCGACGCTATTGCATGCGGCTGCAATTGGTGGCAACATGAGCATCCTTCACCAAATCGTACAGAGTGGTGTCAATGTCGATGCGTGTGACGCGGTAGACAATATTGCCTGTTATGGAATCAATTCAACTCCCATCTCGTTTAAACTAGATGGGACAGACACCACTCCATATTGCGGCCAAGAAGGCGTACGACAGTGTGGTCAAGTACCTCTTGGACGTCGACGCCAACGTCTTTGCCAAGGACAAGGTCTCGCGATCTCAACACACATTAGAGCTCTAGGATGACGTGATTCTTAGACAGGCAAGACGCCACCAATGCTGGCAACTGATGAACGCATCATTGCCACCTTGCTACAAGCGGAAAAGGCGGCCAGGCAAAAGGTACGATACTCGATCAAGCTCTGAGTGCACTGCCGGCATGTGTGCCTTAGAAAGTTGTGCCCTCCGAGGCTGTGCCCAATGCCGACAACGTTAAGCAATCTTTGTCGGTATGATCACTAGAGCTTACCGACGTCGAGAATGCCATATTCACATCCCTATTCCACGATGTAGGGCGATCGACCTGTGGGCACCAAGTGGAGCAGCGTACGTTGAACAGCATGTGTCCATCAGTCTTCCTCGCATCTGGAACAGGAGCTACTCGACGCAGTGCTTACGCACAATGTCAACCGGGCGTTGGGCCTGTTGGCCGACGGAGGCAATCCCAACTTTATCAACGAGGCAAGCCTTTTTCTCTGGTGGCAATAAAGAAAGAACCATTCGGAGCGTAGGCCGGCGACTCGCTCCTGCATCTCGTCGTGTCTGGCAACGACCACAAGGTTTTGGAGGCACTTTTGCGGGCGCCAGGCGTCCAGATAGACATCCGCAACTCGGTACAGCGTCAACTGCACCTGCAACCACGCAAACATGGTTCTATTAGGTGGGGTTGACGCCGATGATGCTGGCCATCCAAACGGGCCACCGACACCTTGCAACGATGCTTCAGACAGCTGCACAGCGTACCATCCCCAGCGTACACATCATTTTCTTACAATATCGATCTTTCTCTCACATGGGCGCCTCTAGGTGCTGGCCACGGTCATTAAGATGGACCAATCTAGTCCAATCTATGGCACCATGTACAAGGGCACGTACAACGGTCGTGTCGTCGCCATTAAAACGCCTGCCGATGAGTCCTCCGCCCAAGCAATCATCCACGAGATGGAGATCATGCAGCAGTAGATCTTTGGTCTTGTGTAATGATCTGATCATTGATGATTCTAGGTGCAACTCGCCATACGTGCAGGAGCTGCTCGCCGTCTCGGATGTCAACTCGCCAGTCCCAAGCTCGTGCTCGAGTACATGGATGCGGGTGATTTGCGCAGCTATCTCGACGACAAGCGACTCGGTGAGCCCACCAAGGTCAACGTCTCTCCACTGCAAGTCGCGTGGGTGCTGGCGAATGCGCTCGCCGATTTGCATCACAACGGCGTCTTCCACCACGACCTCGAGAGCTACAACGTCCTTCTCTCGTCGACCAACTACATTAAAGTCGCGAACCTCGGTTCTGGCCTCGCGTCGGACGCGACAGCGGGCAAGAGCACACCGTACTGGACAGCACCTGAAGTGCTTGCGTCGACGAGCAACTACAGCTTTGCATCTGACATTTACTCGTTCGGTGTCATCTTGACCGAGCTGGACACGCTTCAGATGCCGTTTCACGATGTCAAGGGCCTCGGGTATTGGGGCATCATTGACGGCGTGCGTCTCGGCAACCTCCGTCCGACAGTGAGCGCCAACTGTCCGCCTTGGTTGCATGACCTCGCCGACGCCTGTCTGTCGTTTGACCCGACGCAGCGTCCGTCGGCACAGATGCTAGTCGAGTCTCTCCAGAAGCAGCTTGGTCGCAGCAAGAAATCGTTGGCGAGTGAGTCAACGTCCAAGCCATTGTCCAAGACACCCAGTCCAGCGGTATTGGACTATCTCGGCAACACTTTATGTACGATTTCTCCTCTCGTAGAAACCAACGTTTGAGAATGTGCACCGCTCAGGTGAGCTACTACCCACCGCTGGCGCACTCAGGGACGCTTCACCAACGACCACATCAACGTCCAGTATCTCCAAGGCGCCTACCGACATGGCGGTGGTACGATCCACCACATCTGCGTCGCATCTCACCTAAAATCTTTTTCTCTTTGGCGGCATCCTGGTCGACCTCGACGCTTGTAAGCACGCGCGTCGTGTGCCAGCTCTGCCAAGCCTCCAACTCTTTGCTAAAGTCGCACTGCGAGGCCTGCGCGGGACCACTAACTTCTGTTGCGTCCAAGCTTAAGGTGCTTCTGAAGCGTCTGGATATCGCCAAAAAGAACGGATTGGAGATATACGACGGTGTTTTCTGCGTCTGCTGCGACACGTCCCAACCGATGGACGAGACCGTCTGCGGTGTCTGCGAAGAAGTGCTTCCGGACGACCACGAAAAATTGCGCATCCTCATTCTGCGCATCGAGCAAGCGACCAAGTCGACAAAGACCTAACCGCTTCCCCCTGCATGTCTCACTGCTACGATGCAAATCCATTCTTTAATTGTATATATATTAATTCCATCCTTTCGAAAGCAATGAAAAAGTTTCGCTAGCAACGCCAACCCAGCGCATCCACATGGAACCCTTGAGCGCTGTTTAATCAACTAAAATTGTTGGGAGACGTTCCTGGGATTTGGTTTGCAGTAGACGACATAGGGATATTTCACAAATTGCAAGACGTGTATGATGGTGCAGCGTAATCGTAGCTTACGCAAGGTTGCGCCAGAGGTCGAGAACGAGAGACGGAAAAGCTTTCTCAACAAACGCGCCAAGACACGCATCTTGAAACGCGAGGTCCGTGACGTCGACCGTCCTCGCATCCCCGGTGGCGGCGTGGAGCGCCAACCACGTGCTGGGTGCGTGGTCGCGTCCATGCTCCTTGAAATTTCGGATCCAGCGTACGAGGGCAAACAGCGTGTTGTTGTACGTCCGGTGCTCGTTCATTGCGACCAGTGCAATCGGGGGGATCTTGGACTGCCACGGATACGACAGACGCATGCGCTTGCAGATGGCCACGCGCGAATGGTCGGCGTCATACCGCGCAATGTCTTGAAGGTACCGCAACTTCTCGTCTGTTGACCACCAGACTGGGTGCTGGACCACGGTCGCCATCGTCGGTCGCTGTCGAGGTGCAATGTTCGTCATGCATTCGATCAAGTCACACGCTTCGTATGACATGTGTAGTCCCCGGACCGAGCGCAGAACGCAACCCAGGCTGTAGACGTCGGCGGCAAACACATCGTAGTTTGTACCGACGTGGACTTCGGGGGCTGTAAAGGCCGAGAAGGCGGTGTTATTGGGAGCGACATACAGCTTCCCAGCCGTGTACTGGCGGTCAACGAAGCAGTGCGCTGGCGACAAGCCGCCATGGACGCGCCCATGTCGATGGAGAAACGCCATCGCATCAGTGACATCGCGGAGGAATTGGAGGCGGCTCCAGTTTGCGCCCATCCCGGGCCACGGACGATCAAAGGCGAGGCTCCACGGCACGCCGGGCTCCTCGAAGAAGAGACCAGAGGCATCGGCACCGAGAAAACGAACGAACGTGGTTATGGGCGCTGCATTCTTGCGCTGAAACCGCGCCAAGTCGTAGTGGAAGCGCTCGGCGTCTGTGGCATTTGGAACCTGGTGCCGGAGGACAGTGCCCCATTTCTCATGTTGCTCCATCGCATATGTTGCAGGGGGTGGCGGCCCTGTTGGCAAAGGCGGTGGGGTCGCTGCGCAAACTGGAGCTCGGTGCACTGGAGCCGTAGTATGAGCTAGAGCCGTAGTATGAGCTGGAGCAGTGGCCTGAGCTGGAGCAGTGGCCTGAGCTGGAGCCGTTGGTGCGGGGGGCGCGAAGAGCGGCATGGCAGAAAACGATGGCTGCCGACGCGGGCCGAGGTTCGACGTCCTGTTGACGGGCAGCGAGGTTGGCGCTGCTGTTGATGCGCCTGGGCGCCTCTCTCCACTGCCATTACACGGGCGCGCAAACACATGCGGGCTATTACTCGTCATGCAGCGAGACCACGAATACGGTGGGATCTTAATCCATAAAATAACGAGAAAACTCATTTCAAAAACAATACGGTGGGAGCGAGAAGGTCAGGTGAAACGACCACAACCGACATGTCAAGGGTTCGAACGGACAATCCATTATCGACGACGGCGTTTTACGGGTCTTCAACCCTCGCACACCCGCCCGGACGTTGGGTCGTAATGTTTGGCCTGCGTTGTACCAGCAAGAGCATGCATCGTTGGTCGTATACTAAACACGATACATTCCCACTCGAGAAATTACGTTCACGCTGTCATGTCGGCCCATAACGAACTCTTGGCGGCCATAGAAGCCAACGCAATTCCAGCTGTCGTACAGCTCACGAAGACCAAGTCGAGTGTCAACCATGCTGGCTCGGTGCGCCATTTCGTGCACGCCAACGTATCTTGACTGTTCAAGTAGACTGGAATGACGCCGCTCTGCTTGGCCGCCCATATGAGCCGCGAGGCCATCGTGGCCATGCTTCTGATGGCGAATGCCAACCCCAACCAATCCAACGGCGTATCATGAGCCTCCCGTTCTTAGTCCAGTGCTTATTTCTTATTTCTAGTGTGGCCAGACGCCTCTGAGCATCGCGGCCACGACGGGTGACGCCGCCATTGTCGAGATGCTGCTTCAAGACGGCGCCGACGTCAACGCGACCGACAAGGTGCATTTTCGGATCTTTTATGATGGAAAAAGGACTCTTTTTACAGGATTTGAACTCGCCTCTATTGCTCGCCGTGCAGCACGGCCACGAGCAAGTCATGCACCGCCTCTTTGCGGCCAACGCCGACGCGACCAAGCGCAACACGGTGCGTAGATATCGCGTCCTTGCCGGAGGTTGACGGTGCATTGACATTGCATTGCACAGAACGGCGACACGGCGCTCACAGTGGCAATGACGTGTTGTCGCCGAGACGCCGTCCGCAGAATTTACGCTGTTGTGGCCCAGCCCCCGACACCGGTTCGACGCCTTAACAAGGATATTGGCCTCACGCTACCTCGTAGATTCTTCCGGACGAGGTGATTGGCAAAATCAAGCTCAGCTCGGGCGGCCACAAGTGTCTCATCGAGCACGGCCACTACCGCGGAGAGGGTGTCGCGATCAAGTCGATGCTCCATCCCCGCGACACGCCTGCCATCACAGCTGAAATCACCGCGCTGGACGTGTACATACCGCAAGCGTGTCATTTCCCATGCTTATCTCATCGAGTAGGTGCAAGTCGCCCTACCTGCTGCAACTACGTGGTATCACGGGCACAGAAGAACATCCGCTGATGATCACCGAGTACATGTCGCTCGGCAATTTACGCGACTTTCTGGACAAGAAACGGGAGGCGCAGGCCGTGCCAAGGGACTTTACAGCCCAGCAAGTGCTGTGGGTCGTCGCCAACGCGCTCGCAGACCTCCACGCCCACTGCTTTCTCCATCGAGACTTGACGTCGCACAACGTCTTGCTCTGCAACACCAACTACATCAAGGTCGCCAACCTCGGCGACGCCAACGCCAGTCTTATGGACCGCCCCATGTCGATGCTCTCGTGGTGTGCACCCGAGGTGCTCTCTGGTGCAAGTGGCGCAACGGCCGCCGCCGACGTCTACTCGCTTGGTGTCATTATGACCGAGCTCGACACATTCCAGCTGCCGTACTGGGACGTGAACCTCGACATGTGGGCGCTCACCGACAACATCCGCAACGGTCGCGTTCGTCCAGCGGTGAGTGCGACGTGTGCGCCGTGGTACAAGGCGCTGGCGGAGAGCTGCATGGCGTTTGACGCGACCACACGGCCTACGGCGGAGACGATTGTTGCGACACTGGAGCTGCACACGAGCCGATCTACTGGTGCATGGGCTGCGGTGCGAATTGTCTTGTCTGCTACCAAAGTATTTACTTGCTTGTAGAACTAGGCTTCCGTGAGCGCGGATCGACACGTGGGACTGGTGCGATCTTGCGGCCAAGAAGCTTTTCTGAAGAAACAAACAGAAGCGGCAATGTGCTGTATAGCTCGGAAGTGTTGTTAGCATAAGGGAATATCACAAACGGCTTGTGTACGACGCGAATTCATGATGATCAATTGACGCTCGATGTGTTTTTACTCGAGGCGATGTGAAGAAACCGTGATCCAACTGGTTTTCAAGGGCACCAACAATTAACAATTAAATGCGAGGCAGGCGAAGAAGAGAGCAATTGCATTGACGCGGAAGAGTCGGACAAAAGTGTGCATGGGTGAGCTTGTATTGCATACGTCCAGCATTCTGAGCCTGGATCACAACACAAAACACCGACATTCAGTGGCGATGCTGCTACCATTGCCAAGTTCAAGCACATTCTCAAGAGCCTCTACCAACAACTTTGGTTGATTACACAGCGCTTCTGCACTCCGTCTGGAAGCGCTGGGTTGGCGTTGCTATCGAGACGTTTTCGTTGCTTTCGAGAAGGAGTCTATATATTCCACAAATGCAAGAGCGTCGTAGCGTCGAGAGATGCAGTAGGAAGCGGTCAGACCTTCGTCGACTTGGTGGCTTGCTCGATGCGCAGAATGAGAATGCGCAGCTTCTCGATGTCGGTCGGAAGCTCTTCCTCGCAGACGCTACAGACCGTCGCATCCATCGTTTGTGTAGCGTCGCAGCAGTCACACACAAGGCCGTCGTAAGTCTCGAGCCCGTTCTTCTTGGCCACCAAGAGACGCTTTAGAAGGACCTTGATCTTGGATGCGGCTGGAGCGAGCTCTTCCGCGCAGCCTTCGCAGTGCGTCTGCAGGAGGGAGCTGGAGGTTTGGCAGAGCTGGCACACGACGCGCGTGCTCAGGAGCTTCCCGTTCGAGGCCGTCTACAAGCACCATATTGACGGCGGTAAGACGCCTCTCAATTCATGTGGCTGGACCCACCGTTGACACTTTAGGTGCGAGGAACGACGCGGGCGTGACGACAGCTGGCGCTCTAGCGGCGCGGGTAGACAGTTCGCTTGTCGGTGACTTGATCAAACGATCTAGGCTCTTGTCCGACTTGATTATCTAATTTTTGGTCATCCAACTGAGGCTTTGGAGAGAGCAACACGTACCGGGGGGTTACTCACAGCACTTGGCTCCGTTGCTGGCTTTGACGTTGGCTTGCTTTCAAGAGGGGCCACTGACTCTTCTTTGCTGCGCCCGACCAGATTCTGAAGCAACTCGACAATCTTTTGCGCTGACGGACGCTGCGTCGGGTCAAACGATAGACAGGCGTTGGCGAGATCTCGCAGCCACTGCGGACAGCTGGCGCTTACTGTCGGACGGAGGTTGCCGAGACGCACTCCGTCAATGATTCCCCAGTACCCGAGGCCCTTGACATCGTGAAATGGCATCTGAAGCGTGTCGAGCTCCGTCAAGATGACGCCAAACGAGTAAATGTCAGCTGCGAAGCTGTAGTTGCTCGTCAATGCAAGCACCTCGGGCGCTGTCCAGTACGGTGTGTGGACGCGAGGCCAGAACCGAGATTCGCGACTTTAATGTAGTTGGTCGACGAAAGAAGAACATTGTAGCTCTCGAGGTCGTGGTGGAAGACACTGTTGTTGTGTAAATCGGCGAGTGCATTCGCAATCACCCACGCGACTTGCAGTGGTGAGACGTTGACCTTGGTGGGCTCACCGAGTCGCTTGGCGTCGAGGTAGCTGCGCAAATCACCCGCATCCATGTACTCGAGCACGAGCTTGGGACTTGTTGTGCCGACTCCCGAGACGGCGAGCAGCTCCTGCACGTACGGCGAGTTGCACCTAGAATCATCGATGATCAGATCATTACACAAGACCAAAGGGATCTACTGCTGCATGATCTCCATTTCGTGGACGATTGCTTGGGCGGAGGACTCGTCGGCAGGCGTTTTGATGGCGACGACACGACCGTTGTATGTACCTGTACATGGTGCCATAGATTGGACTAGATTGGTCCATCTTAATGACCGTGGTCAGCACCTAGAGGCGCCCATGTGAGAGAAAGATCGATATTGTAAGAAAATGATGTGTACGCTGGGGATGGTACGCTGTGCAGCTGTCTGAAGCATCGTCGCAAGGTGTCGGTGGCCCATTTGGATGGCCAAAACCATCGGCGTCACGCCCGCCTAAACAACAACAATATTGTCATTGCCATTGTTGTCGTCCGCAGCTTTGTGTTTGTACCGCATTGTGGACGTCAACTTGGATGCTGGGTGTTCGCAAAAGCGACATCAACGTCTTGTGGTCGTTGGCTTGCACTGCGAGATGCAGAGGAGAGTCGCCCGCCTACAATGTTGCAGCGTCGCTTTTGTGTTTTATCACGTCACAAAGCATTTACCTCGTTCGCAGCGTTGGAATCCCTGTCGTCGGTCACCAGCGTTCGCTCTTGGCTGGCGTCGTTGACGTACACAGCTTGGACACGCGCCTGCAGCATACATAGGTATATGGACATGTTTCGTCCAAAATAAGTTGTACGTTTGCGCTTTGAGTGCCCTCGGGTCGATCCACCGAGTTCTACAATGTAGGAAATGACGTGCGACATGCAGCAATCGTACCTTCAAAACTTCGAGGCCGACGTCGAGGCGGTTGCAAATTCGCTCGACAAGTTTGTTCAGCATCACCTCCGAGCTGCAGATACGGTCGACGAGTTGGTCGAGCTCGGCGTCCGAGAGCAGAGTTTTCTAAATCCCACACGCTTGCCGTCCATTCCACATAAGCTTGAGGGGAATACCTTCAGTTTGCCCTTGCTTTGAGCCTGTTGCAAGATGGCGATGACGCGGCGGTCGGTCGCTAGCATCAATGGCGTCTTGCCCGTCTACCGAAATCGTGTCAGGTCCGAGCTCCCTCTATCAGGAAGATGTATTACTATTGTCGTTGCAACGACGTTGGCCTTGGCCTTGACGAGGTACTTCACGGCATTAACGAGATTCTTGGCAGCCGCGACATGCAGCGGCGTTTGACCCATCTAGTTGAGATGGAGAATACGTTGACCAATCATCCACGACAGACAATATTGTCTACCTCATCACAGACATCTTTGGCATCGCTGCAAAACAAGAAGAGTTGGTCCAGGACGCTCGTGTTGCCGCCAAGGACGGCCGCGTGCAGCAACGTCGCGTCAGTCTAGATCCACGATTGCACGTGGAGGATGGGAGCATGTCATGCACAGACAGTACATTCGAGACGCAGTGCATGCTTGCGTTGCCAAGGATAAGGGCCTCGACAGCGTCGGCATGGCCGCCGGGCAGCAGCGACAAAAAGGGGTGACTCTCCCGCCTAAAGAAACTCAGGAGGGCATATTGCAAGAGAAAAAGTGTGTATGAAAGGTACATGATTAGGGGTGTTGATGCCGTCGTTATCACGCACTTCTTGAAGCAGTGTCGTGAGGATGGACGCGTGGCCGTGGGCTGCCGCCATATGCAACGCCGTCGCGCCTCCCTAGATCAAACCAAGAGGCGTTTGGCCTTTAAGCGCAAATTTATACAGACCTCGTTGGCCAATGAGCAGCTAACGCCCAGACGCAATAGTTGAGCCACAGTGCTGTCGTCGTTGGTGGAGGCTGCTTGGCGTAAAGCGGCGCCCAAGGCTGGTGTTGAAGCACGTAGATTCTGTGCCACACCATCAAGATTCTCAACAAAACGAAGTCGATATCCCACCTTGTCAACGAAATCGACGGATGCGCCCGCTTGTAGCAGCGCAATAGCTGCCTTCACGTTGCCCGTGGTAATCGCGACTGTGAGAGCTGTGCGACCCGCCTATTTCATCGCAAATGACGTTGTCGGACGAAAAGACGATTTATGGATCTACCGTGTCTTTAGCATCGATCTCGAGGTCGGGTTTGGGAAGCAACGCTTGAAGCAGCGACAGATCCTGCGTGGCTACGACCAGTAGCAGCAACGGCGTCTCAGACTACAATCACATTAGTCATATCCATCATCGTTATCATATCATTTTAAAAGAAATACGTACGCTGTCACGGAGGCTGGCGTGGATGTAGATATTTTGGAGAATGCGCGTGGCGTCAGGATTGCGCTTTTCGCGCAGTGCGTCAAAGAGCTACGAGAGATAGCATCGGCGTGGCGAATAAATGTCTCTTGGATTGATAATATACCTGGTCTTCGCCTTGCATGCGAGTAGAGTCGCGTAATAGCTGTACGGCTTCCTCATTAGAATTCCTTGCTGCTGCGACCTCAAGTGGGGTTTTGCCATCCTAGAAAATCAATTGTTGCTCGTCGAGGATCTCATGTAGTACGCTCCATGCCCGCACCATGGTGGCTGTACGTACGTTGTTTTTGGCGTCGATTTTGGCGCCTTTTTCCAAGAGCAGCTGGACCATTTCTGACTTGTTGCCTTGGGCAGCTTGGTGCAGTGGTGTTGCACCCGTCTACGTCAACGAGACACTCGAAATCAACTGCATAAAGACAAAAGTGTACTGAATCGCACGTTTCCAACTTGGCGCCTTTTTCAAGCAAAAGGCGAACGATGTCCAAATGACCAATTAAAGCAGCTCGGTGCAATGGCGTCCAGCCATCCTACACGGTAATTACAAAGTCGAATAGCCCTAAAATGTCGGTACAAAATCATACCGAATCGCACGCTTCGGTATTGGCGCCTTTTTCAAGCAAGAGGCGGACGACGTCCAATTGGCCACTGTAAGCAGCATAGTACAATAGAGGCCAACCTCTCTACTCCGACGTATAAATGTAAAACAATTCAATTCGAGAGATCCAACGTACCTCGTCTTTGCAGTTGATGTTGACGCCTCTGTCAAGGTAATATTGGACGGTAGCCAACCTGCCACTCGCTGCAGCTTTAATAAGCCATTGCTACATGGTCGCATCCACATTGTCGCAGGCCGCATAGTCGTCGTCGTACTACCTCGTTGTCTGTTGGCATCCTCCGTCGCCGTCAGGTTCAAAACTGACGGCGTTGAGATTCTCCCCGATTCTATTGGCTACTTTTACACCAATCCACGTTCGGCATCACAACCGGACGACACCATATCTTTTTCGATAGCCAACCAAAATGTCGACATCACTTCTACCAAGGGCTTTCATTTCAACCGCCACGGTGTGCTTTGCCAGCAGCAAATGATTGCAGTACACACAATGACTCATCAAATCTGTCATTCGAGAGGGTGGCCACTCAAAATAGACATACTGGTAGACATCATATCCCGTCGTAAAAAGAGTACGAGTATAGAAAAGATATAAGGCTGTTTGTCAAAGTGCATGCGTGTCTATTCCACGTCGTTCAACCCGACGAGTTCGTACTGCGGCCCACAATTGTCGGCCTTGAGCAGCGGGAAACTCATCGAGTACGTCATCGTCGCAGGCGCCTACGTCCAGCGCTCAGCCGTCACATTCATACTCATGTAGCATTGTACCGCGGGTACTACTGCCGACGGACGCCAATGCTCCTCCAGTGCCGCAACAATCGTCTCCGCCGTAGGCCGTGTGGTCGCGTCAAACGCCATGCAGCTCTCGGCCAGCGCCTTGTACCACGGTGCACACGTCGCACTCACCGCTGGACGAACGCGGCCGTTGCGGATGTTGTCGGTGAGCGCCCACATGTCGAGGTTCACGTCCCAGTACGGCAGCTGGAATGTGTCGAGCTCGGTCATAATGACACCGAGCGAGTAGACATCGGCGGCGGCCGTTGCGCCACTTGCACCAGAGAGCACCTCAGGTGCACACCACGAGAGCATCGACATGGGGCGGTCCATAAGACTGGCGTGGGCGTCGCCGAGGTTGGCGACCTTGATGTAGTTGGTGTTGCAGAGCAAGACGTTGTGCGACGTCAAGTCCCGATGGAGAAAGCCATGTGCGTGGAGGTCTACGAGCGCGTTGGCGACGACCCACAGCACTTGCTGGGCTGTAAAGTCCCTTGGAACGGCCTGCGCCTCCCGCTTCTTGTCCAGAAAATCGCGCAAATTGCCGAGCGACATGTACTCGGTGACCATCAGCGGATGTTCTTCTGTGCCCGTGATACCACGTAGTTGCAGCAGGTAGGGCGACTTGCACCTACTCGATGAGATAAGCATGGAAAATGACACGCTTTCGGGATGTACACGTCCAGCGCGGTGATTTCAGCTGTGATGGCAGGCGTGTCGCGGGGATGGAGCATCGACTTGATCGCGACACCCTCTCCGCGGTAGTGGCCGTGCTCGATGAGACACTTCTGGCCGCCCGAGCTGAGCTTGATTTTGCCAATCACCTCGTCCGGCAGAATCTACGAGGTAACATGAGGCCAATATCCTTGTCAAGGCGTCGTGCCGGAGTCGGGGGCTGGGCCACAACAGCGTAAATTCTGCGGACGGCGTCTCGGTGACAACACGTCATTGCCACTGTGAGCGCCGTGTCGCCGTTCTGTGCAATGCAATATCAATGCACCGTCAACCTCTGGCAAGG